TCCTTTTAATTTTTAGAAATAAGACAGAGATTCTGAATTACATACTAAAAACTTAAGCACAGTTGCTAAATAGAACAGAACTAAATTGCATTTCCAAATCAACTCGGGGAGGGGAAACATTACAGAAGCCACCAACCTCATAGAAAACAAGAATGAAAGACACACAATGATAGAAAGCACAAAACAAACTTTCATATGTGTATATACGTATATATGTTTATATTATAAGATGACAAAAAATAAAACTTCAGATATACTACTTTTACAATAAACAAATGTAACTCTTAATGACTATAAGATTGGGTTCTAATTCTCCATGAACTATTAAAGAAATGCACTTAAGACAATGAGAAGTTTACAAGTCTTTTTGCCTTGTGGGTTTTATGATTGAATATTATCAAGGTAAAAAGGTGTATTGAAAAGGACTGATTTCTTGCTTCAGAGATGAGAAGGCCATTATGTAAGGATGATTGATGGGGAAGTCACACCTTGGAAGTGAAAATAATGGAACATTTATTGAGTTCTCCCTAAGTCATGGTTGGGGCCTACAAAAAAAAAAAAAAAAGCTAAGGAGATCAGCGAGAACAGGTTCCATATGTTATGGAAACTGAGACACAGGAGGCCTGGGACTGTGCAATGCGTGAATGCCCAGAATAGAAGGGAAGATTCAGGAAGAAATTCTAAGGATAAAGAAAACAGCATTACATGCTGGGCAGAATGAGTATGCTATCTGGCTTTACGGCAGTAAGGAGTAAGTTGGAGAAACAAGAGTGAACTTATCTATCAGGAAGTTCAGAACCGAGGACTGGGGATGTAGCTCAGCTGGTAGAGTACTTGCCTAGCATGCACAAAGTCCCAGGTTCGATCTTCAAGACCACGTAAAACTGGATATGGTGACACACATCTGTAACCGCAGCACTCTGGAGGTGGAAACAGGAGGATCAGCAATTTAAGGTCATCTTTGAGTTCCACACCAGCCTGGGCTAGAGACTGTCACAAAAGAAATAAAGCTCAGAACCTAAGGGAAAACAGATGAATAGTGAGGAAGGCTCCCAGAACTTATCTCACAGCAAGTGACAGCTGTATATAAAAGTAAATTCTCATTGAGATGGGGCACCTAGGCCATGAGTTTCCAAGGTAGCCAGTGTCTCCGGGTTGGCCTAGTGCTGGCTTTATGAAATGTGAAAGCTCTATTGTATATATGTATGAAATTCTCAGAAAGTACATAACAGAGGAGCTAAGAGATAGCTCAGCAGTTAAGAATACTGATAGCTCTTACAGAAGACCAGGTTCAGTTCCCAGCACCCACATGGTGGCTAACAGCTGTTTGTACTAACAGCTGTGTAGTTCCAAGGGTATCCAACGCTCTCTTCTGGCCTCCACTGGCATTGCATGCATGTGGTGTACTTATATACATGCAGGTAAAACACTCATACACATGAAATAATAACTAAAAAGTATATAACAGAGGGATGGAGAGATAGCTCAGTGGTTAAGAGAATGACTGCTCTTGCAGAGGATCTGGGTTTGATTCCCAGCACCCACACTGTGGCTAACAGTTGCCTATAACTCCAGGTCCAGGGAATCCAATGCCCCCTTCTGACCTCCGTGGACATTGCATGACATGGGTGCACTTACATACATGCAGGCAATACACTCATACATGTAAAATAAAAATAATAATAAATAGGAAAAAAATGCCAGTGCTGATTCTGACCACAAAAAATAAATAAATAAATAAATAAAATACTGGGAAAGCCAGGCATGGAGGTGCATGTCGGGGAATCCAATGCCCCCTTCTGACCTCCGTGGACATTGCATGGCATGGGTACACTTACATACATGCAGGCAATACACTCATACATGTAAAATAAAAATAATAATAAATAGGAAAAAAATGCCAGTGCTGATTCTGACCACAAAAAATAAATAAATAAATAAATAAAATACTGGGAAAGCCAGGCATGGAGGTGCATGTCTCTATTCCCAGTACCTTAGAGGTTGAGGCAGGATGATTGTGAGTTCCAAGGCAATCTAGACTGCAAGGCAAAACCCTGTCTCAAAAACTAAAGCAGTGAAATGCCCAACGTCACTAGCAGAAGCAGTGTCATGCTGGTCTCTTGTGTGGGACAGTATGGGGTAACTGTCCTGATCCCTCAGCCATTTCTTACAACTGTGGGACCTGTTGAGGACTGTTTGTGTCATGCATGATCAAGCAGTCACAGAGAGCTGTGTCTAGAGTTGTCAGATCTGCTTTTTCTGACTTCTTTAAGTGTTTACCTTTTGTCAGCAACCATATTTTCCCACAGCTTACCGTGTCCACATCTCATCTGCTCATAAGCTGGTTTAAGGTGTGTTCAATCCTGATGAATGAATCAACTCAATGACTCAGTCAAGTTTCTGAGTCTGAAAAGTTAAGATCCAGAGCATGATCAGTCACCAGGATGATAGCCTCACTCTGCTGTTGCTGGTGGCCTTCCCCTCTGTGGTTATATTTTACACATGCAATATAACATAAAACTAAGAGTTGCCTCAGGGGCTCATCTAAAAGGATCCTCTGAATGTGGGAATGAGCTGTCTGTGGGTACTGAAACATTTACTTGGCTCTTCGGCCAAAGTCCTCTTTGGATGTCATTTTATGTCCTAACCACAAGAAAAGATTCCTCTGTAAGAACTAATAGGTTACATCTTCCTGCAAGTATAACAGACTTCTACATCAAAACCAATAATTCTTCAACACAGTTAGAGAAAGAAGGTATCTCTCTTTCCCACCTACTACCCATCCAGGAAGAGGAATGCATTTGTTTGGTATTAAGCACAATGATCTTTCCTCTATGGTATGTAACACACTTTATATGGCATGTGGTCTATAGGAATAGACTTAGTTCTCAAGGACTCTACAAATTGGATTCTTCCCAGTCCTGATCATTTAAAAGCAAAGGTCTTCTAACCCAAGTGTCTGTACATTTATAGGAGATCTTTGGAAGAAGCAGAAAGGCATTTGAATCCTGTATCTCAAGAGTTCCAAACACAAAACTGAGACACTCCAAGAGGGGGAAGGTCAAGTGCAGTATCAGTGCCTCGTCAAAGTCCCACCGGCTGGCTTCCGAGAGGCCTTACAAAGGGAGACATTTATTTTCCTGGCGGTTTATCAGAATCTGGCTCTTAGCTTTTTAGGTTCAGAACATGAGTTAATCATGATACAAATAATAGATTCATTATCAGAGCTGAGCTCACCTTAATCAAGCTCACAAGAGTCATGTCTAAACCAAAATGCCAGTTGACATTTATACAGAGAAATACATCTGACTGATCCTTTTACAGCACTGAGAGTAGCATATTCTTTCCTGACAGGCAAGCCTACACAGGGAGGCAGATCATAATCAGAAGGTTATTTGGTGAATATGAAATCAGAAAAAAGATGAATCACATATTTCCTGGCATAGACTTAGAAAGTAATCCATCTTACATCCTGCACCCCCAGATGTCTTTGAAGTCTCTCAACCAAGATTTTTGCGTTGAGTCAGTATTTCAGCAGGTACCTGCCAGTGTTCTTTCTCTCATTTTTTTAATGCCTCACAATTAGCCAAAGCCCATGCCCACCCAAATAATCCCTAATGTTATACTTCTCTAGATGTTAATATTCTGCTAGCTAAATACCATTCTTCTTCCTTAAGTCTACAGTTTAAATCTCAATGAGCTATCTTTTTTAATTAAAAAAATTTATGTGTATGAGCATATTGTTTGCATGTAGGTAGGTGCACCTGTGTCATGTAATGCCCACCGAGGTCAAAAGAGGGCATTAGATATCCAGGAACTGGAGTTAAGGACAGTTGTTAGCTGCCATGTGGGTGCTGGGAATTGAACCCAGGTCCTCTGCAAAAGCAGCCAGTGCTCTTAACCTCTGAGCCATCTCTCCAGACCCTCAATGAACAATCTTCTTTTTTTTAAATATTTTATTATTTTAATTTTAAGTGTATGAATGCCCATGTGTATGTGAGTGCCCCCATGTCATGCAATGCCAGGGTGTCAGATCCCCTGGAACTAGAATTATGGACAGCTGTTAGCTGCTATGTGGGTGCTGGGAATAGAACCTGGATCCTCTGCAAGAACAGCTGGTGCTCTTAACCACTGAGCCATCTCTCCAGCCCCAAGCAATCTTATTTTCAAATTCTTGAGGGATATTTCACTGTCCTTATATGAACTTTAGGAAAATAGGACATTGATAAGATGCATACAGCAGCTCACCCATACCAAGGCTCATCAATTTTCACACCCAGCTGACCTTTATATTATTGCTATTTTTCTGTACCACATATGGTATTATTAATATTTTTCTTAGCCAGTGGTACATGCCTTTAATCCCAGCACTTAGGAGGCAAAGGCCAGCAGATCTCTGTGAGATTGAGGCCAGCCTGGTCTACATAGTGAGTTCCAGGCCAGCTGGGGCTACAGAGAGACTATGTCTCAAATATACATATGTGTGTGCATGTTTTCCTTTAAAATGTTTAAACCTATTTTTCAAGGAGATTTACTGCTCATAAATGGAAAACAAACTACTACCTTTTTACACAAAAGGATTATAGCCTTAGGAGTAAATATATTGAAGATGGAAGTGTCCACCCCCATATACTTATTTAGCTAAATATTATTTGCCATTGAAAACTCTGAGCCTGTATGGATCTTTGTTAAGGTTAATACCAAATTGGGATTCTCCTCAAATGCAATAAATCACATCCAGAGAGACTGAGCAATAGGATAATGTAAGAGATTAATGTAGTGCCTTGTTCATTCATCATCTAATATATAATATATAGAATATATATATCTCCTGAATCTGGGGAGATGACCTCAGCTTGCTTGTTTTTTTTTTTTTTAACTTTAAAGTTATTTGGAAACTGACTGTATGACTGTAGTGATGCTTCCTCTCTAGCCTTCCTGAGCCTAGTTTCTGCCCATGCTGTTCTGACTATGTCTTTTTCCTGCCTTTTCCTGCACAGGTACACACTGGCAGCTCAGGACCTGGTGATGCGTGCCCGAGGTGTCCTGAAGGACAGAGGATGGAGGATATCAAATGACCGGCTGGGCTCAGGAGATGACATTTCTGTATATGTCATTCCTTTAATACATGGAAACAAACTGTCATGAAAGTGACCCAGGGGATTGGGAGGACAGAAGGGAAGAAAACTGGGATGCCTCTGAGCAGAGCAGAACTAGGGAGTGCCTAGGCTGGTTCCAGGTGATGCAATTTCTTCCCAGCCCAGGTGGGGAATTTGCTGCCAAAAAGCCTCTGGCTTTGCTTCAAGGTGACCCTTAGGTTTCCATTTCTTCTTTAGTAACAGGTCTGGACACTGAATAAGAACAAAACACAAAGCCTGCTACTGAGTGTTATATTTCTCTTGGTTTCTGTCATAGGCCTCCTAGGTGGTTGTTACTGCCTATTTGGGGCACAGGCATCAATTTATTTATTTTATCTAGAATAGCTGGGACAGCCATTTCAGGTATGACTGGCAGAAGACTCCTCAGCCTGTCAAGCTGCCAGCTTCTTTCCAGGTTCAGAACCGTATTGAAAAGCTGGGGACCATGCCTCAGAAACTGCAAGCGCTCATCTTGTAAGAGTTCTTTCAGGGATTCTGCCTTTCCCTGCCTCCCTCCCTCCCTCTCCTGTTTCTCTGTATCCTTTTGTGATAATGATGGGGTGAGGCAGGGATTTTTTTTTTTTCTTATTGACATTCCTTAAATCTTTCTCAGTTATCTCCCAAGGAACAGGACTGGGACTTTCGAACTCTTTGCTGAGCAATTTCCATATCAGAGACTGGTCAAGGTTGGGTTGTCCCATGTCCTGTGTCCCATGAACCCATCCAACTGTCAGAGCAGTACTTGTGTGACAGGATGTCTTTGTTGCATAACATTTGTTCCTGTGTTGTGTTTTCTTACCAAATCAGTGAGTTTTCTTCCACACATGGGTGTTTCTTTGGACCAACAGTTCCTCTGTTATCTTTCATATCTCCATGTAAGGCTGGAGGTTTTGCTATGAGAAGCTGGAGTTATATTTCCGGAGTGGGTTGGTGCTCTCCCACTTTCTGTGTCCTGGGCGCATGTAGAAAGCAGTGTTTAATGTAGCAGTTTAATGAGTTCTTGGCTTAGTCAGTTCACCATGCCTCATTCAAAGTCAGTTTGGGATTCTCACTCCACAGGAGGTTTGAGTATCAGAGTTCTATCAAGCAGGAGCCCCTCTCTTGCTGTCTTTGTGCAAGGCCCACTCAGGATGACCCTTGAATAAAAGCAAATTTGAATTGGTATTAGCCACTCTCATGCTGTCCACACTGTTACTCAAGGAAATCACATTATAGAAACCCAAGAGCTAAGACCCCTGTTCTCACTGTACATCCATCCTCTGTACATACCTCATAAAGACAGCAACAGCACACACATGAGCATCGTATCTGCCCACTGCTTCTTTGCTAGGAAGAATGACAAAGTCCCAATTAAAGGTCAGCTGTCTCTTAGGCAGACTGCTGCCCTGCAAAGGGGCCTTCAGCAGCATCTGATTGCTTAGTCCTGTTCCTGTAGCGTTTCTGGGGTGTCATCAATATTCTGACAGCTTGGTATAATTCAGATGCTCTTGGAACTCATAAAGAAAAAAGCTTATTGGTGAGATTTCCAAAAATGCTTAAGAGGCAATTCTAAGTCTTGTGTTTGTAAGAATTCCTTCTCAGAAGAGATGAGAGGAACCTTTCCTCCAGGCTTATAAATCACCCACATTCCTAGATTTGTAGGTATTTTCTTAAGAAAGGCTTACCGTGGGGCTGAAGAGACAGCTCAGCAGTTAAGAGCACTGGCTGTTCTTGAAGAGGACCCCTGTTCAGTTCTCAGCATCCACATGAAGGCAAACAACCATCCATAACTCCAGTTCCAGGGGATCCGACGCCCTCTTCTGGCCTTCATGGGTATTGCACATGTGAGTGCACTACATACATGCAGGCAAATACTCAGACACAAAATAATAAAACAAGAGAAAAAGGCCTAGTACCTTCCTACTCAGGAACAAACGCACCCTTCCATGTAGAATCAGAGCCCTGTCTGGCAGGTGACATACTGTGTTGTATTTGCCAACACACTGCCTGAAAATTGAGCTGCCACCGTGTCAAGATTCATCTTCATCTGACAGTGTGTCTTCCTCCTTTAGTGAGTCTTAGTCACCCCAGATATCTCTGTGGGGGAGCAGTTCATTACAAACCACTCGCTTCCCTGGAAGAATATGATGCTGTGGGAAGCTGTTCTGGTGGGCTACAGCAGTGTGGTCCTCGTTCCACTCCTGCCCCGGCTTTCAACATTGAGGATAGGAATTGGAAACTTGAGATTCCTTCAAGTCTTCTGTGGAGAACCTGAGCCACTTTCTTAGGAACATTCCCATGTCTCCAATGTGGTCCACATTTTTGCTTTTCTAACTTTTCCCTGGACCCTACCTTGAGCTTCACATTCAAACCACCAGAGTCAGAATTTGGGTATAAATAGCCTGTAGGTGCCATGACAACCTTCTCTTCAAGTAACCAATTCATTTACTGCCAAGGCACATCTCAGGAAAAAAATACCTGGAAACTCCTCATTGAAATTATCCTAAAACCTGGAGTATTTAGCCTTGCTGGTTTTAGGTGGGAAGGTATCCAGGAATTCTCTTCATAAGCCCCCATGGTAGAAAGATCTTAGTAGTAAGCTAAAGCCCTGTTTGTGTTTGGGGGAAGGGAAACAGACTACAAATGAGGTAGATAAATCAAAAGTGGAAAAAGTGATTTGTTAATGCCTGTGGCATATCTACCCAGCATTGATATTGCTCTGTGAATTGGGCTTACTCTGTTTCGGCCTTACTGTTTACCCAAGCCCCAAGTCACCCTGTCCCAGAACAGTAACTGTCTATGTAACAGGTTGGCCCTTAGAGCATTCTAGAAAAGGTCAAAAGACAACACACAGAATTCTGCAGAACGTAGTTATACATGTCTCAGAAATTTTGTGTATCTGACTTAGGGCCAACTCTGCTTGCCCTAATAGCCTCAGAGGAAGCCTTGTGTAATGAAAAGCATTTGATTTCCTAGTCAAGTCTTTATGGGTGTCTTGGGGGTTGTGTGGTCACTTCATTTAATGAAAAACTCTTTCAGCCCTAAATCTCTTTGCTGAGCTACCCCTGCTCTTCTGACGTTTGGCGACGCTCTTCACTGAAGAGTGTGGACTCTGCAGCACTCTGCTAGACGGCAACCAGAGCTTTGTTCTGACCAGAGGTCAGAACACTGTCAGCAGCCAAAGAGGTGGAAGGGGCTTGTTGGGGTTGTGTGCACCCAGCAATTGTCTTTGCAACAGAAAAAGCATGGCGAAAATAGTGGTGGGCCAAATAAACTGCCATGGAGCAAGAGCAAGCCTTCGAAGTGAGGGTTTCAGTTGCTTTCTACACTAATCGATTTGGGAAAATTTGGGGTGTTACGTTTTGTAAATTCCTAGCCATTTACCTCTCCTGGGCTGAGTAAAGCTTGCTGTGTCTTCCTGCTCTCCTCTGTAAATTCATTTCTTGGGAGGAATTACATGTGTAGGTGGATATTGGTGAGTAAGAATGAGAGTCCCAGGAGCCAAATCTAACTCCAGATCTTGGCCATTTGGGCGGGGGGTTCAGTGTACCAAGGTCACTGATTTAAAACCCCCCTGGAAAGATCCTATGTCTTCAAAATCCTGACTCTCCTTTTGCTTCCTCCTTCCTCACCTCCCTCCTCACCTGCCCATCAGCTATATTTATGAGCCCACATGTGCCCAGTGCTTTTGTGTGCACCAGTTTGAGGGTCTCACCTTTCCTTAAGTGATCCAGTAACTCTGATGTTGTCAAAGTCTGTATGTTACACTGATGAGATTTAAATTTCAGTGAGTTAGTGTTTCTGGGACTAGTTAAGAGAAAGCAGTGGGATTCATTGTCTGTGCAAGGAACAAATGGACTGACCCTAAAACCTACCAGATCTAATAGAACAGCAGAGTAGTCTTTGGCCACGGGACAGAATTTTGTGTTAGGAGCTCATGTTTTTGAGGACTTATTAATATAGAGAAGTGTTACAGCCTGCAAGGCACAGCCCACCTCTGAGAGCAAATTTGAGTGCTATGCATAAATATGGCATACGTGTAAACACTGGGACTTTCAGAGGACACTACACGAGCAGCCTGGCTTGCCTTGCCTGTGAGCCTCGCAGCCCTTTGTCAAATTTGAATGCCAGTCCAGGGAGTACTGCTTTCTGATCCACAATGTTACCTGTGTAAATAGCTTTAATTTCTCTTCTCTGTGTCTTAGGTGAAGTTTTGTTCATGTAGCAACCAAGTAAACAGTGACCAAATAAGGCTGTTCATGTGCTGTTGTTTTCTACTGTGATGTACTGAAGGAGGGCAGCCTTGTGTCCCCCACTGTTCCACTCTCCCATGAGTATTTTGTGTGTGTTTGGGGAGATCCTTAGGTTACTGTTTCATTCCTGTTTTGCCTCCAATTTTCTTTGTTTCTTTGGAGACCCAGGGAGGCCCATAGTGAGGATCATTTATAAGAATATGTATGTCATGATCTGGGTTTTCCAAACCTATCCTATGTACAGTGAATTGAGCGGAATCAGCCTGGAAATGGTTTCAGAACCATGTACCTTTATGCTTTGTGATTGTGAAACACTGACTTTTGTAAACTCAAAATGAGAATTGTTTAGTAAAGGGGATCTATTTTGTGTGTTTTGAAACTTAGGTGCGGTGTCCCCTGGAAAAAGCTGAAGAACTGTATATGCTCAATGACATTTGAAAATAAAATACTATATATATATGTATATAGGATATCTTTAGCAAAACGTTTTTGTCTTGTCTTTGAATTCACTGTGAAATTTCTTGTCAAGTAATGTGAGGTTATCAATTGTGAGCAGACTCAAAACCAAAAGGGAAGAGCCAACACTTAGGAGAGTAGTGGATGGCTGATAGAATCCAACTCTGCCTCTGTGGGAGTGACCATGCATAGTGTGTATGAACCGACAGAGTTCAGAGGAAAGAATTACTCCTAAGAGGCATTCTTGAGTGAAGACAGTAAGAATTAAAGGTCCCCTTATCATGTAAGCATCTTATGTGCTTACAGATCCTAAGATAGAGCCAGGCATGGTTGCACATTCCTATAATCACAGTACTCAGGAGGGAGATCAGGAGTTTATGGTCATCCACAGCTACATAGCAAGTTCAAGGTCAACCTGGGTGCATGAGAACTGTGTATTGTCTGCATGTATGTAAGTGCACCCATATCATGCAGTGGCTGCAGAGGTCAGAAAAGAGCATCAGATCCCCTGGAACTGAAGTTACATGCTGTTATTAGCTGCCATGTGGGTGCTGGGAACCCAGGTCATCTGCAAGAGCAGCTAGTGATCTTAACCACTGATCCATTTCTCCAGCCCCCCATCTCCTTTAAAAAAAAAAAAAAAAAACTTAAGATTTACCATCTTAAATAAGGTAACCTTGACAGAATATCACAGAACATTAATTCTGCTCAATTCTAAAATGCAAGAAGTTAAGTGTAATCTAGAAAAATATTAACAAAACATGGATCCCAGTGGGTACCTGAAAACACTAGTACTGAGCCCTGTGTATGCTGCATTCTTTCCATGTACATATCTGCATGTTTGTGCTAGAGTATAGCTTGCAAATTATGGAGCTGGATGTGGTGATAAAAGCCGGAGCCCAGGACTTCAAAAGATTATAAGTTCTAGGCCAGCTTAAACTAGCAAGACCTAGTCCCAAAAAAGAAATAGGCTCAGTAGGTAAAAATATTTGCCACACAAGAATGGGAACCTGAGTTCAAATACCCAGAATCCACATAAAAAATCAGAGTAGTATGAGCATCTATAATCCCAGCACTCCTATGGAAAGATGGTAGGCACAGACAGGAGAGTTCCTTCAAGCTTGCAGGCCAGCTTGTATGGCACACACAGCACAAAAACAGAGACCCTGTCTCAAACAAGGTGGATGATGAGACCTGACACCCAGGGTCATCCCCTGACCACACACACGTGGCAAATGTGTGCCCCTGTTCACACACATAAATGTACACACATACATATCATATGAACACATATATACACAAAAAAGGTAAAGGAAAAACAGTAAAATATAACAGTTATTTAAAAACTAATAAAAGGGGCTGGAGAGATGGCTCAGTGGTTAAGAGCACTGGCTGCTCTTACAGAAGACCTGAGTTCAATTCCCAGCACCCACATAACAGCTAACAACTGACTGTAACTCCAGCTCCAGGGGATCCAACACCCTCTTCTGAGTTCTTTGGGCATTGCACGTCAGAGGTGCACTTACCTGCAGGCGATATGCTCATATGCATAAAATAAAAATAATAAAATATTTTAAAATTAAAAAATAACTAATAAAAGCTATGAATTGCTAACCTTTGGAATTTCCCGTTTAATATTTTTTGGTCACAGTTAACTTCAGATAACTGAAACTCTGGAAAGCAAAGTTGTGGGTAAAGAGGTACTATTGTATTGATTCACAAAAGAAAGTTTGTTTGGGGCTTTGGTGTTTTGGTTCATGTAGCCCAGGCTAGCTTTGAACTTGCTATGTAGCAGAAAACATGAACTCCTGATCCTCCTTCCATCTCCCGAGTGCTGCGATTACAAGCCTGCACCACCACACGGGGCTCACAAAGAAACTATAAGTTAAAATTTCATTGACGCTTAGGAAGAACAGCAGTCATTTTTTAAAAATTTTATTTTTTATTTTATGTGTATGCATGTATTGTCTGCATGTAGGTAAAGTGCACCCATGTTGTGCAATGCCCGTGGAGGTCAGAAGAGGCTGTTGGATCCCCTGACACTGGAATTACAGACAGTTGTTAGCTGACATGTGGGTGCTGGGATTCTAACCCAGGTCTTCTGCAAGAACAACCAGTGTTCTTAACCACTGAGCCATCTCTCCAGCCCCAGAACAGCAGTCATATAGAATGATTTTATTGTGAAAGCTCTTCAGTTTTTTCATCTTCACTTGAACACAAATGTTCACAGTCTCTTCTCCCCTATTTCATGATAGAAACCGTCAGAAAGGACTAACCCTGGATTCAAAGGCTGAAGATTAGGAGTTCTCTGTGGAACCTGGAGGACTCATCTGGTATTCTTTCACAAGCTGCATTTCACCCATCGATTGGCTCTTGAAAGCAGTCGTAGTTTGTACTCAAAGACTGCAATAAATAGTGACCCTATGTCTGTTTACAGATGTACCTTTTCCCAGGAAGAGGTGGAGTTTGTTCCACACCCCTGGTCTTGGCCTGGCCTGTGACTTATGTGATGGACATCCTGACACTTCTAATCCAGATCTCTAGAGGTTTCCTACCTCTGCTTTCACCCTCTCAGCGTCAGCCTGGATTACTGCATGATAAAGAATGGCTGCCTGGAAAGAACCATGTGCCTGCACATTGGTAGTCGGGCCTCCCTCAGTCCTTAGGCCCCATTTGGATTCAGTGCAGGTGGTACCACGAGAGAGGCCCCCAGCCATCATACCTTCCAGGCCATTCCAGCTGAGGCCACTGGCACTGCAGAGCAAACAAGAGCTGTGCACTGAGCCCTGCCCAAATTCCTGGCCTACTGCGTCATGAGTAAATACAAGTCCTTGTTTTCAATCTTGTTTAAGTTTTAGATCATTTATTACCCCACAATAGCAACCTGGAATAAGATATAGCAGTCCTGGCTCTGGGAGACATGGGGGTAAAATGACTATAAATGTAAATTTGTTAAAAGGGGTCTGTAACTCAGTAAGAGAGTACTTGCCTAGCATGCACAAGGCCCTGAGTGTTATCCCAGCACTAGATGGGGGAAAGGAAGAACAAAAAGAAAATGACTTTGAGAAAATGCACTTGTGACTTGGTATATCCTCCATGTGGAACCTAGGATAACAGAAATGGAGATGTCAGCTTATTGCAATAATGGAGACTATCTGAGACCCGGGCTGAGATCTCAGCAAGAATCCTCCATGTGTGTGCTTTCACATCATGCCGCTTGTACTGACCATTAGCAAGCCAGGAAAACAGTGACCACTGTGGGGCTTGGTTCCTAGAAGGAGAAACAAAGCTCTTTAATTTCTGCTTATGAAAGGCATCCTACACTGAACTATTTATGACCACTGGAGTTTGCAAGTGCTTCCCAGGGAGTTGCTTGAGAGTGTTTGGAATATTAAGACAATTTTTTTGGTGGAGGAGGGATTGTTTGAGACAGATCTCACTAGTAGACCAGACTGGTCTTGAACTCTCATGAAGACCAGAATGGCTTTGAACTCTGCTTGCCTATGCCTTCTGAGTGCTGTGCTTAAATGTGTGTGCCACCACACCCCACTATTAGACACTTTACACTTTTAAAGTCATATGTGAATATATGTATTATTTTTTGAATCATTATTCAATAAATTCTCATCATTTGGATATTCCCATATCCTGATGTAACTGCAGGAACCAGGAAAATGGAAGGGAACCAGGGAGGTAAAGGGAAAAGAAGGAACCTAAGAGAGAAGAACAGTAGGAGACAGGGGTTACTAAGGGAGAAATGGGTTAAATTGGGGGTATTTAAATGGGAGGGGAAGGGGAGAAGGTTATACAAGGAAATATGGAGATAAGGGAAAAGAAGGATCTCAAGAGAGGTGGGATCATAGGAGACTGGTATTATCAAGAAATTGGGATACTATAAAGGGGGAGGGCATGGAAAGGGGCTTAGACAGGGAGAGAGAGAGGACAGATAAATAATGCCTACCTAGTATTAAAAACAAGAGGGAATCATATTAGTCAAAAAAAACCTATTGACAAATTACACATATAGTATCTCTACCTGAGTCCATGTGTATAGTTGAAGGCTCTATAATAAGAAACAGGCCAGGCATGGTGGCACACGCCTTTAGTCCCAGGCAGAGGCAGGTGGATCTCTGTGAGTTTGAGGCCAGCCTGGTCTACACAGTGAGTTCCAGGCCAGCTTGGGCACAGGGAGACCCTGTCTCCAAAAGACAAAAAAGAAAAAAGAAAGAAAAGACTCCCTCCCACCCTGCCCACTTGAGTTGTTGGTCAGGGTAATCTAGGAGACTCCCAAAATTATACAGGCTATCACCACAGCCCTGGATTGTCTCCCAGAACATGAAGCTAACACCCTATTGCTGAAGACAGGACATACTTTGGACACAGGATTTGGAGCAATGGAGCTGGAACTGACCTGGAAGCCCCCTCCCTTGAAGGCTAGCTCTCATAGTTTTCATGAGCACTATGCAAGCTGCTAAGGGAGAACATCAGTCAGTGGTTCAATCCCAGCTTCAAAGCCTAATAACCACATCACATCAATGACCGGCACAGCAAACAACGTTGGTGCAGTAGTGGCACTTTTATCTTGGGGGTAATCAGCAGCTACCTAATTGGACTTAAAGCCTACTCAGTGGGAGGGAAATCATGTGTGATTCTGTAAACATAGCCAAATACACATCACTGGAGAAGTTTTAGATCTTAGAGAAAACCCCAAGGCTGTCACATCCCTAGACAAATGTAATTTCTTACTATGTGCAAAATATGGATCCTTGTATTTGCATACAAGCATCACCACTCATCAAAGAAGCTTCTTTTGTAACATACAGAGATTATTACAGAGTTCCACACCTGGTCACATGCAGACATTGTCTGTGAATTGCCCAGGCCTAAGTGGCACATCTACAATGCAACCTCTACACATAAGACTCACAGAACTTAGAACAAGCTGTAAAGAGGACTTGAATGTATCTCTCAGTTCTCATCAATGAAGCTCCCTCATGCATCAGAGGGCCAGGAC